AGCTCTGGTCGTAGCCTTTGTACCCCTGATGCTCCAAGATATGCGTAAAGCTCCCCACATCCCCCACGATATTCTCCCAACTACCCATCACCTTGATCCCTCCCAACGTCGCGCCCTTGCCAATCAAAGCTTCGTAGTACTTCTCCGCGGCGGAGAGGTAAGCATCGCGCGAGGCAGGGGGCACGGAGTGGGTGATCTTTTCGTGGATGTACTTGTTGCGGCCGACGAGGGCGGAGTGGGGGTGGTGCGCGGGGTCGCCGGCGACGAGCCCTTCGGCTTTGGCTTCTTTGCTGCCGTAGATCAGAGTCTATACGATGTCAGCTTGGCACAACAGGGGGGAGGAGTGGAGACGGACACCGAAGAAGCCTTCGCCGCCTTGTTTGGGGTCGTCTTCCTGGGCATCGCTCTCACCGGGCACGCCGGGGGACTTTGTGGGGCCGGCGAGACGGGGGGTGGTGTGGATGCTTGCGGCGTGGGTGATGGCGCGGAGGCGGAGGGGGTTGGCTCGTAAGGCGCGGAGGGGGGTTAGCATGCTTCGGGACATGGCTGGGCTGGCTGGGCTGTAACGCGTTGGGGCAGGAGAGCAATACTTGTAAGGCGTGGTCATGCTTACCCCGCACCAACCCCGGACCGCCCGGATCAGTACCCGGTCCCGGATATCGCCGCTCTTGTGACGTCGAATAACAGTCGCCTGTCCACCACCCGCAACGAGCACTTGCCTACCGACATCCTCGACTCAAACGCCTATGGTACCCATCCGCCATTATATAAGAGGATGAACATCTCTCATCAGCAGCGCTTCTCTTCAGATCTGTCCGGACTGTCTAGACGCGGCAGCACTGAAAGTCGTCGCTTGATCTTGGCAACCCCTACGTCCTGGCAGTACATGCATGCTATTCCGTTGCTGACAAGAGTTCTGGAAAAAGAAACTTCGCTTGCGACGTATGCATACGAACGATATACGATGTTGAAGGACAAGAGCCACGCTCGGATAACGCCGCAAATCCCCGCGCGCCCATCTCCTCTTTCATCTCGCCCCTTCTCTGACGCCCTCCCCAGCAGCGAGCCTCCAAGCATCCTCGGTGCCCAAAAGCTAGCTGTTACTCAAAGGTATCTACTCTTGACCACTCCTCGTAATTATGTCCGCTTATCAACGCTTCGCTCTCCTCGACGATTTGTAGACACCGACGAACGACACCTAGCAAGATGTCTGAACGCGCAGCGTCTGAAGCTGTACCGGAAACATCGCCGAGGCCCGGCTTCACCCGAGGTGGTTTCGCGCCCATCCCCCACCGACACTCGGATATCCCACCAGCGCCTGTGGAAGCAGCGTCGATCGCTGCGCTCTCGCCCAAGATTGACCAGGAGGACTGGGAGCGCGGTAGGGGCGGGAGGGAGAGAGAGCTGCCGAGGAGGGAGCTGGATCATGAGCCTGAAGAGAGGGAGGGTGTAAGAGGTGGGAGGAGGGAGTGGGATGATTTGCCGCCGAGAAGGGGGAGCTGGGATGATGATTATGGTGTGTCTCGCACTATCCATATGTGTCCAGCTGTTGATATCCTTTAGACCGCCCTAAACGACGAAGATCACCTTCACCTATCAACCTCCCACACCGCCGCCCCCGCCTAGCTTCTCCCTCCCCACCTCCCCCGCATCACCGCTACCTCCCCGACCCCGCCTCCATCGAGACCCTCCTCCCTTTCCGCGCTTTCGCCGAGTGGTTCCGCTCTTCCCACCCGCAGACTGCAAGGCAGGACGAAGAAGAGACAAGGCTCCATCTGGAGCGGATCGATCGTGGGGAATTGAATGGCGAAGAGGGGAAGGAGAAGGTTGGGATGGCGAAGCGGTATGAGCGGTACAGGCGGGAGTTTACGAGCCGCCAGCTTTATGCGCTGTTTTTGACGCATCGGGATTCGGTGTGGTTTAAAGAGAAATACTTGCACTACCCCGAACATACCGCCCTTCGCCGCCGGGTCAACCGTCAAGGCCGTGTGCCGCTTGTCGAGGCGTACATCACTGCCCTCCGATCTGGCGCTAGGGATGACGTCAGCTACGACCCCGATGGGAATGGGCTCCTGTTGGACGGTGTCAAGGTCGATGTGGAAGAAGGGTCTGGCATGGCCAAAGTCCTGGAGGGCAAGTCGGATTGGGGAGAGGAGGAAAGCGTCAAAGCCGAGATTCAACCCAGAACGAAGCAGATCTTTTTGAAGACTGTGCCCCCTGGTACGAGCCGCAAGTCGCTGGAAGAACTGTTTGGGAGGGTACCGGGCTTTTTGTGGTTGGCATTGAGTGACGTTTCTGTGAAGAGAAGTTTTCATAGGGTCGCTTGGGCGCAGTATGCCGAGTCGACGGATGTGTCGGAGGTTATTGACAAGCTTGAAGGATCCAAGGTGAGTCTTGACCCCCTCTTTCGAGGTTGGACAAGCTGACGAGGGCTGTAGCTCGACAACTTTGCGTTCCACATGAACATCAACGTGACCCCCACGGTCGGTCGAGTGCGCGTAGCACCCCCAGCCGTCAACTCGCTCGAAAAGCTGCTTCATGATGGCGAGACTGCCAAGCTCTTTGCCCTCCGCTTGGAAGAAGAGCTCGTGGGAGACGAAGAAGAGGAAGAGAAGAAGGAAGGGGATGGAAAGGACGAGAAGGCTGAGAAGGCTGCGGAAGAGGAGAAGGAGAAGAAGGACGTTGCCGGAGCGAAGGGCCTGACGGAGCGTGGGAGTGATGTGGTGGAAGAGGTTATTATGAGGGTGTTGGAGTTGAAGGGGTTGCAAGGCGAAGATCTCGACCCCGCTCAGTCCATCCAACGCGTAAGTCCACCCCCTCACTCTCGAGAAAGAGAGACACACGAGCTGACTATCGTAACAGGCCAAAATCATCCTCGACCACTGGATCTCGTACCTCCGAAATGGTCTCTCTACTTGCTTCTATTGCGTTTGCCCGGCGTCTTTCCCGGAGGAGCTGCACCGCAAGTGTGTGGGGCATATCCGGTCGCATCTCGATCCCTCGCCAAAGGTGGAGGAGAATGGGCATGAGGAGGGTGGGGATGTGAAAGATGAGGGTGGGGAAAAGATTGAGGTGGATGTAAAGGTGGAGGTCAAGGGGGAGAAGGATGAAGTCAAGGAGGAGGTCAAGGAAGAAAAGGAAGATGTCAAGGAGGGGAATGAGGATCGCGAGATGCGCGATGCCGAGGATCCTTCCACCTCCAACCCCGCCCGTCCTTCCGACTCTCACGACCGCTGGGAGAAGGACAAATTCGACAAGTCCCAATCCCGCTCCAAACGTCACTTTCCTCAAAAGACGGCTTCCGAAAAATGGCTCGAATCTCACTCTCACCGCCTCTTCCCGCTCATCTCCACCGACGTCCATCTGGCAGACTATGGGGGTAGGGATGTGGAGGAGGAGACGAAGAAGATTTGTGCGCCGTTGATCAAGCAGGAGGAGGAGAGCAAGTATCGGTGTAAGGAGTGTAACAAGCTCTTCAAGGCGCCCGAGTATGTGATGAAGCATGTGACGAGCAAGCACCCAGAGATTACGGAGAGGAGGATTGACGATGTGAGTATGCTTTGAGCTTTGGGGGAGAATGAAACTGACGCGGTGTAGGTGTTGTACCTCAACAACTATGTACTGGATCCCCAACATCTCCAACCCAACGTCTCTTCCCTCGCTGCCGTCAACGACAAACTCCCCACCGGCATCCCCCACCACTCTGCCTCCTCCCTCCCCCTCCCCGTCTACCCCGACTCCATCGCTCAACCTCTCCCTAACATGCCGCCGCACATGAACCCGAACGGCACGCACCAAGGCCACGGGCAATTCAACGTCATGCAGCAGCAGATGATGATGATGATGCAGATGCAGATGCAGCAGGCGATGATGATGGGGATGGGCGGGATGGTGCCGAGTCCCGGGGGGCCGGGGGGGCATGGGCATGGAGATCGAGGGGGGATGCCAGGGAGGGGAGGAGGGTATACGGCGCCGGTGAATGTTGCGCCGTTACCGCCGCCCCCGCCTGGAGGAGAGGATCCGAGGGCAAAGAGGGGGAGAGTGAGTTATCAGGATCTGGATGAGCCCGGCGCGGGTGGAGGCGGGGGTTTGCCGTATTAGTGTGGCTATGGGGGCGTAACAGATGGAGTGAAAAGTTAGATATATATTATGCATGTTTGTGACTCTATATTGGCTCCCGACATGCCGTCCCCCCCTTCACTCTTCGCATATCGGTCTTCTTGAACTTGTTCATCGTGCAATGTGATGTGACCGTAAGAGCCAGAGTCCCCGACGTCTCGACGAGTATGCCTTTCTTCAAAGTTCTAGTCACGGGACTAACGGACATCGCCGGACACAAGGAAAGAGTGAAAACGGGAACGGAAATGTCTAATATATACCATGCATGTTTGTTGGCCTATCCTGATTCTCCTATATTATGGGACCAACGCAAGCAGAAGGTTGATTGAATGAGACAGTCGGCGCTACGCGAAAGTGGAGGCGAGGCGGTCCGAGCGGGGGAAGCTGATGTCAACCGCAACATCTATTCTTCTCTTTCTTTTGCTATTCCGTCTATCCCCAGCACCCTTTCGCTCATCCTCGACGTCCATAAACACACCAGCCTTATACAAGACGCTCTTCTTTACCGGACGCCGTCGAGAGATCCATCGTACGTCCCATCCCTTGCAGAGAAGGAGAAGAGGGGCTCGGACCGCCGAGTCTTGTCGCCACTGGGTAGAGACTGTTTGTGCTACCTCTAGAGATGGCATGTCCCTCGTCATGAGCAGCGATGGAATTTGAGATCAAAGAGGGTATATAGCTGACGACTTTGCTTTCAGTCAACGGTCCAGTCACGGCTGTCGAGCTAGAGTTTTCGCTAGTCATCACCCAACATCTCATACTGTACGGGTACGTGAGCTTCTCCTTCAACATTCTATTTCCCAATGGAGGTTCAATTACTCTCTATGACCGATGCTGATCCTTTTATAGATCACAAACATTCCACTCGACACGACTGCATCATGAACGAAGACTTCGGCTTCTCCTTCGCGCAACCCTCTCATGCACCGAAGAATCCCTTCGAATCACTCCCTGCTCTCAGGCAAGCCTCCCATAGCAGCCTTCCCGAAGCTTCAAACTCCAACGCCTCTACTCAAGCGACATCTACTACTCCTCTCTTCGGCGCAAGGTCGCGAGGCATGTTCCCCTTTCGACCGACGGCTCCTCACCCCCTCGCCCAGAGCACGTTGCCGCAAGATAGTCCATCCAGCAGGGGATCGAGCACGACTGACGGTGAATCTGCATCTGCCAAGAAGGACGCTGAGAAGGATCTCGGTCTGGGCAGGGGGGGTATTGGCGGCGAGAGGAAGTTTTTCCAACCACCAGCGAGAGATGGTCACGCCCCGCCTGTCATTCAACGCAAGGCACCATCCGAACGAGAGCCTGAACTTCATCATGGCATCAAGCCTTCCCCAGCTCGTCAGGCTTCGTATCATGCAGTGCCTATCGCACCCTGTCCGGTTCGACAGCCTGCTAGTCATGTCCCGCCTGCTTCCCGATCGTCCCATTCTGTCGCTCACCCTGCTCCCAAAGGCCATTCCCGAGGCTGGGGCGATCCCCCCTTCAAGCACCAGCAACCGAGTGTAGAAGACGTTCCCGACCGAGAGGGCGGCCAAGGCTTGCAAGACACCCATCGCGCTCCCTCTCGACCCACTCGACCGAGCTTTGAGTATAAACCAATGGACACCAGCGAGTCTCATCAGTATGCTCGAGGAGCCGAAGACAGTGGAAGCGATCCGTCTTCTATCGATACTGCTGTACAAGTAGGCTCGTCCACCGCTGCCCATCGGAAATCTCATCTCTCCACCGATGAATATCGCTCCCCCCAGCCCAAAGCTTCATCTCACATACTCGACTCACCCTCATCCGTCGTCTACCTCGACCCCAAGGCGCAAGACGGCACACCTGGTCAACAAATGCAGCAGCCTCAGACGCTTGCGCACTCTGTCAGGCAAGGTCAGCATAGCATGCAATTCCAGCCTTCTCCTCCGCAGGCGAGAGGCGTGCGGCAGCCGGAGTCGTCACCTTCGCACCCCTTGAGCGATGCTCAGCGGCCTCAGAAGATAGGCCTGCAGAGAGCCCAGCAGGAGGCGACTAAGACGGTAGAGAGGGCAGGAACAGTGCACGGTCACGACAAAGACGTCACGGCGGGGAGAGGAGAGAGGGACCAAGCTGGTAGCTCGGAGCAAGTTCTGTTGAGTTTGTTGCAGACGAAGAACGGTGAGATCGATGGTCTCGTAAGCTCAGCCTGTCTCGCGGCAAGATCAAAGCTGAGAGACGATATAGCGAGGCAATATCCGCAACTACCAGAAGCTTCTTCAACAGAAAGAGTCAAGCCACAATGACCTCGTCAGCCAACATCAGCGCCTCGTTGGGTCATACGCCAAAGACGAGGAAACTTGGAAGACCAGCATGGGGAGTGCTAAGCGCTGGAAGGACAATGTGAAGCAGAAGTGAGTCATTCTCGTCATTGTTGATGCCTCACCTGATCACAAGAGTAGAGAGTATTCCAAATCCCAAGCGATGCAAGCACTTCAAGAGAGCTACGCCGAGCAAAGCAGTTCTTATCAGCAATCGCTGGAAGATTTGTCTCGAGAGCTTAGCGCGTTCAAGTCTACGACTTTAGAAGAGACTCAGCAGGGTATGTCTCTGCAGCTATGCCACTGATTTGATATGCTAATGGTCAGCGCAGAGTTATCCGGCCATGCCTCCACCATCGGTAACATACGCGAAGCTCTCAATCAAGTCAAGCAAAGTCTGACTTCTCACGACATTGCTGTCGAGGAGCTGCAGAACGGTCAGTTATACTCATTATCCGCCCGCTATCAGCGGCTGACGTCCATTTTCCTTAGTGAAAGCAACGAAAGAGGCTCTCGAGAAAGCGTTGAACGAGAAGAGTATAGAGCTAGATGATGCGAAGGCGAAACAGTGCGATATAATCATCACCTCATTTGGTATAACACTGACGTTGACATATTGCAGCTCAAACATGGAGCTCAAACTTCGAGAGTACGAAGAGACTGTCGGGCCAGACATCAAGTCGGTCTTGAGCAACCTCGAGTCGTAAGCCGTCAGCTCTCGCTGTGTGCCATTGTCTAATCTCTCTTTAGCATGAAAGTCAACTCGACACTCGAATCGGCGGCTCTGCAAGATACTCTTCACTCCTTACACGAGCAAAGCGACAAGCTGATTCAGAAGGAGAAGGAGTAGGTCGAGATTGGTATATTGCAAGGGCACATGCTGACTTTGCTTTCAGCTATATCATGCTTCAAGCCGACTACCGTTCTCTCCAGTCATCCAAAAAATCAGTCGATGAGCAGATATCTGAAGTTGAATCCTTCCTGAGCGATCTTGGATGCGCCAATAGAGGATTAGTGTGCATGATAGAAGAGCTGGAGGAGACACATGCTTCCGCAATCGCTAAAAGTGCGAAGGAGATCGAAGAGAAAGAGAAGCAGGCAGCGGAGTGAGTATCCCGGATCCTTAATGAATATCGCTTACCTCTCTTTAGCTTACGATCAACACTCGAGAACGTTAAGAAAGAGCTCGAGACGGCCCAGGCTCGTATCTCGGAACTACAAGATAGCTCGAAACTGCAAGACAACATTAACGAATCCCTCGCCGACTCGAATGCTGAACTCAAAAATCAAGTCGTCTCTTTGCAGGAAGCTGCGAAAGTACAGGGAGAGAAGGAACGGGCGTTGAAGCAGGAAATAGAGGAGCTGAGGGATGCGAAGCAGGTGCTTATCTCAATGGGGCGATGAGGACCGTTCACTGATGATTATGCAGGCTTTGAGTGATCGTTCAACGGCGCTCGCACAGAAAGTTCAAAAGGCAGAGTTGCGTTTGCAAGCCGCGCAGGTACGTGGGCTTCTTTGCTAAGATGCCCCCATACTGACATTTCCTTCAAGACGTCTCTGAAGGACAGTCGGAAGTCCGAAAATCATCTCGAGGCCCAAGTCTGTACGCTCTCAAAGCAGCTCGAAGCACACCTCAAACAGCAAAGCGATACAAGTGTGAGTCGATGGGACGCGTAGGCTCGAGATCTGGCTGATCATCATCCCAAAGTACGTCCATGGCCTTCTCGGAGAGCTTCAAACTTGAATGGAACAGCTCAAGAGCGAACAGAATGACGCCATCGAGCTGCAGCGCGCCAACACCCAGGTACGTTCACTTGCTCTGTCTTTCCGTGCTTTACTGATAGACTGTGCAGATACTGCAAAAAGATCACGCTATCTCGTCGATCCAAAGCTCTCTCGACAATGCTCATCGAACGATCGACGAATTGAACGACGAGATCCGCAAGCTGAGGGCCGGGTTCGAACAAGTGTCTAGCGAGAATGCGCGGATTAGGAAAGAGGTTGATGAACAGGCTGAGGGGGGGATAGATTTAATCGAGAGATGGGAGAGGGATCAGCTTGTCAGTATTTTGTGCTACATGGCCATGGGGTTCTGCTGACGTGCGGCAGTCGGCGGATGAGGTTGTCATGGTTCAGCGAGTCACTCAGCAGATCAAACGAGGTGAACAAGGTAGGTTGTCCTTACTTTGGTGAAGATCGGATATAATGGCGTCGGGCTGTAGCTTTCTATCGACAAGAGCTCGACGAGAAAGGTGAGACATATCTAGTTACGTTGCTTCTTATGCTCGCCGCTGACGATTATGTAGCGAATATTACGAAGAAGGTTGGTAGCATTCGACCTGGCAAAAGCGAGAGGTTGATGTTGAGGTAGCTGGAAGCGCGCTGCAAGAAGCTCGAATCGCAGATATCATCGCTTCCACATGTCAAGATGTCCAACAACATGGCGGCGCCCGTGGCCCCTCTGGTGAGTTTAACGATCTGATCCGAGTATATCAGTAGCTGACAATCTGTACAGGGTGTCACCGAAACTGTGGCCGTAATCTCGCCTTACACGAGCTCGTCGACGAGTACTGTACATGCAGGCAAGACTGTACGTGCGCCCATCAAAAGAGGAGGTTTTGCTTATTTTGGCCACAGACCTCTCCACACTCGCCTACCAAGCACACCGAAGACTCAAAGACGTCCTTCTACTCTCCCCTCGGCGCCAAGTCATCGACCGCTTTCCTTTCCGAAACGCCTTTCAACTCGACTATTGGAAAGAAAAGGAGACTGCTGGATGCTGATGTTGACAGCGAGGAAAACACTACTGTTATGGGGAATGATACGGTCAACGACGAGATCGATGCGAGCGTGAACGAGGCTACTCTCAACATTCCCCCATCGACACAGGCGCGTTCGAGCACGCAGTCTGTCACTAAGCCCCAGAAGAAGGTGAGCACATGGACGATACTGGGTGTTGTATAACGCTAACGTTATGACTAGACTCGGTTTGCTGATATCCTCCACTCATCTACTCCACCCGACTCGTTGCCCGAGGACATGGATGACCCCATCGAGCCCGCCACTTCGCAGCCCCAGTCCCAGTCCCAGGGCAAGCAGCGCGATGGACTTCCGCCTCCTTCTCAGATGCCCAAGACGTACAAGAAGGGTAAGACAGGGAGTAAGAGCAAGGTGGACAGTGGGGTTCAAGGAGGAGGAGCGAGCAGTGGGGGAGGTGACGCGAGAAAGTTGAGGGGGGGAAGGAAATCTCATTAGGTCGTTTTATAATCTTGTGCCGGGCTCGGATACCTCTCATCTGTGAATGCATCTACTTTATGTCTACATCTAGGTCACATCTCAGACTCCCATCAAGACTGCTTGACCCTGTACCAGCCTCGGTCAACATGCGTTTGGGATGGTTAGGGCGAGTTGGGAGAAAAAGAGAAAAATGGGGCGATTTATATCTGCCACCTGTTCTGCCTTATTGACGTGCTTCTGGTATGCATATGCAGTAGAAATATGGGAGTCAGCTCTGATCCTTCTCCCAAAAGCAAAGGCTACAGGCCTTGCGAGCTTGTCGTGTGATGCATGACCAGATCGAAAATTGGTACGAACCACATGGCGATGGCGGCGATGTGCGCCTTTCGCGTTCTTGGTGTTGTCGTGTCTCGATCTCGCCGTGTCCTGCCCACTCACCCCTCCCGTCTCCATCGCCAACCCCCACCACCCACCATGGACCCCACCAAAGCGCAGACCACGGCGACCTTTGCCCACCTCAAATCCCAAAAGTCGAACAAGGTGCGCCCCTGCCTGCCCAGCTCCACGCTCTCCACTCACTCCTCTCTAGCAATGTTTCGACTGCCACGCCAAAAACCCCACCTGGAGCTCCGTCACCTTCGGCATCTACCTCTGCCTCGACTGCTCCTCCGTCCACCGCAACCTCGGTGTCCACATCTCCTTCGTCCGCTCCACCAACCTCGACTCGTGGTCGCTCCAGCAACTGCGAACCATGAAGGTCGGCGGTAACGCTTCCCTCGCCGAGTTTTTTGCCAAGAACAATGGGGCCAGCCTTCTGCCGCCGACCAATGGAGATGCTAGGACGAGATATAGCAGCAGGCAGGCGACGTTGTACAAGGATGAGCTGGCGAAGCGAATCAAGGAGGATGCTACGAGGTACGTACAGCATCGGGCTCAGAGACGCGTTTCTGACAATGTGTCCTCGTAGAAACCCTCAAGGCATTCACATCGACGGCCTCGAGCTCACCCCCCTTGCCTCCCCGTCCAAATCGGCCGCAGACGACGACTTCTTCTCTTCATGGGACAAGAAGGCCGAGACCAAGCCTGCTACGCCCACCACCGCCGAAACTAGCCCCGCCGCCCCTCCATCCATCGGCAAGCCCGTCCTCGCACCCGTCGCTCCTGTTGCGCCGGGTCCCCGCACTGTCAACTCCTCTTCCCTCCGCACTTCCTCCCCCGCCGCCCGACCCCCTTCTGCCTCCCGTCTATCGTCTTCCTCCTTCACCGGCCCCAAGCCCTCCAAGCTCGGCGCTAGCAAACTCGGTGCTTCCAAGCTCGGCGCCAAGAAGGCTGGTACGGCTATCGACTTTGAGGCGGCGCAGAAGAAGGCGTTGGAAGAGGAAGAGCGGGTGAAGCAGGTTGCGCTGGAGCAGAAGCGGGCGGAGGAGGAGGCGAAGGCGCAGAAGGCCAAGGATGCTGAGGAGGCGAGGAAGGCGGCGGAGGAGGCCAAGATTGCGAGTGCGAATGCTAGTAGGGCTGCTGCCCCGGCGAATGGGGCGGGGAAGAAGACTGGGGCGGCGACTGGCCCGGTGAGATTAGGTTTCGGGCAAGTGCATGGTGTTGCTGCTGCGGCGCCTACCAAGACGTGAGTGTATGCTCTACTGTTCTGTGTGGTTGAATCTGACTCTTCTTAGTCGCGCTGTTGAGGAGGATAACGTCCGTGTCGCTAGAGAGAAGTTTGGAAGTCAGAAGGGTGAGCTCGTGATCTTCTCGTGCTGTCTTCTTCGCATCACTGGCATCATCGACTTTTTTTGCTTTTACTCTTTCACTTGCCATCGCTTCCATATCCTCCCCCCTCTCTACTATCCCTTTTATGATTCCTACAACATCCTTCTCACATCATTTGTCTTCTACGCCCTACCGTAAGATCATCGCTGACCCCCCTACTAGCTATCTCCTCCGACATGTACTTTGGCCGCGGCTCCTACGACCCCACCGCCACTGCCGAAGCCCAATCCCGTCTCCGCGACTTCCAAGGCGCCACCGCCATCTCCTCCAACGCCTACTTTGGCCGCGACGAAGAAGAATCCGACGATGGACTTGGTGGTGGGTCTGGTACTGGGGGAGGGTATGGAGGTGGGGGGGAGGATGGGGATGCGTTGGCTGGGATTGAGAGGGGTGTGAGGGATATGGCGGAGAGGCTTATGGCGAATCCGGATGTGCAGCAGCTTGGTGATCAGATTAGGAGTGGGGCTCTCAAGGTGAGTTTTGTTTGTGACACGGGCTGGGTATTGGTTGCTGATGGAAGTCACAGCTTTCCGACTATCTCGCGTCTTTTGAGGGTCGCTAGAGGGTCGTATCCTATCACTCGTTTGTCATGATTCCCCTCCTCATCCGCTCTCGCCAATACCCCCTCCCCTTCGACGCGACGCGTTATCAATCCTCGTATCCTCAAAATGTCTAGTCTTCTCTCTTTTGTCGTTCTGATTTTTTTCACGTTTCTCTCTTTCGTTGCTGTTGGGTCATTTCACGGTCCTAGACTAGTTTTGAATGCACCTCCATCGGATTCAAAACTCAAGAAGATTTGAAGTGGACTGCGACTTGATCACATCCGAGTTTTACGAGAAGCGCCGAGGAACTTGGGCTTGTAGTGGGAGGCGCGGAGGAGCTGAGAGGGACGCATTGTTGGGGTGTGTTGGCGAGGGGTGTGGAGGGAGAGAGGTGGTGTAGTGGGGGCGATATAGGTATGCAGAAGTGATGTGCAGTATACAGAAGAGGGACAGGGCGTTCGTCAATCGTCAAGTCCTCGGCAGCACCGTACTTTTGATCCCGGACGAGTCCGGGGGAATACCGATGGTTCACTCTCGTCCCCAGATCAGATACGCAGGCCGGCATGACCACCTACGGGGGGGAGGGGTGGGGGGGGACTGGACTCGCTCCATCTTCGTCATGAGCACTCGTCAAAATAAAAGAGATACACGGCTCAGCATTTATTAGCGATGAGGGCGGAGATGCCCGCCTGATGCAGTTCCGCGGCGTTCCACCTTTTCTTGCCGCCGCTCTAAATCTTGTCTAAATCTTATCACCCGTATCCATCTATACTCTCCCACCCCAGCCTCGCTCTCGCCCCTCGCCTCTCGCCCCTCCTCGGCCCCTCCCCCCCCGCCCCCCCTCCCCGGCTCCCCCTCCCGCCTCTCCCCTCCCGGTTTCCTTGTCCCTGTGCGTATACACTCTCGTTTCCGGCGTGCATCTTGACTTACCCTGGCCAGTGTCCCTTCTCTCTCTTTGGCTTGCTCTTTCGTTCATATATTGACGGACTTTGTCCAGGTGAGGCTTGCCCTTTCTTGTCTTTCAGAGATTTATTTGCAGCGTTGACATTCTCTCTGTATGTAGACCGTGGACCTTGTCATCAACTCAGGAGCAACAGTCATGTTGCACATCTGGCAGTGCGTTAACGATTTCCTGCACTATTGCAAGTAATGTACTGATGACCAAGCAGTGACAGCGTGTTGAGCGATGCTGGTAATCGCTGCTGCTGGCCAGACTTCTACATCCTACCCACAGTACTGCACACTACCCTCAGCAACCCACAAGCACACCACACTACCACTTGTATGTTGCATCTTCTTTCAGATCTCTTTTCAATCTTGTTGTGATTATGAAATGGATTTTCGCTGACACTCTGGTCTAGCAATATGAGCGACCACTCTACCAGTCAAGATGGCTTCGACTTTGCCCTTTCTCAACAAAGCTCCCCAAGGCTCTCTGAGCGCTCCCTTGTCGCTCCTGGTCGCCCCGCACGACATCACTCGCGATCTCCTACCCCGCCTGTCGTTTCTCGGGTACCTTCCACTGCTTGTCATTCCTCATGGCCGACATCATCCTCCCCCCGTCCAAGGCTCAACAGCCTCTCGTCTTCCTCCCATTCTCTGGGGCCCCAACGTACCCCTCAGCTGCTGCCGTCATCCCCTCTCCTTTCGCTACTCCCTGTCCCAGCGGATCTCAGCTCCCCCTCAGCAATTTTGGTGTTGACGCTCTTGCAATGAGATTGAACGACGCCACAGAGAAAGCCACGCTGGCTGCCCCTGTTGGCCCGCCTACACCAGCCCCTACCTCCCAGCGCCTGTCCCTCCCACCCCGGACACCCTGATGCGTTCACCCTCTGTTTCGAGCTCCCGGTCGCATTCCTGTTTGCGCTCCCGATCCCGCGCTCCGTTCCAGAGAACCTCCAAGCAGCATGTGAGTGTATCCAGGCAGTAGAATTGTGTGATGGCACATCTGACGCGCTACCAGTAACATTGTCTGCGTCACATCCCTTGCCCGACTTGTCTCTTCCTGGCCAGCCTCCCGACTTCTCTGCAATCACTGCGCAGCTCGCGCAGCTCATGCAGCAAGTGGCCTTAGGGGTGAAGAGAGTTACATAGAGACTTATCAAGCAGCTCCTGTGGTCAAAGACGACATTTACGACAGCAGAGGTCCTCCAGCCAGACGACAGCCGCGACCTCCCACCCCACCTGCAGTATCGCCTCTACCTCCTACCCCGGAGCTGCCGATGCGACCGGGGAAGGTGTGCTTGACATGTTGCTGGACCCGTTGGCTTCCCAAGGTGACGCCCAGACACCCTTGCGCAACATCATTGAGGGCGAGGGCCTGTCTCCCCCCTGGGAGTGGGCTGACGAGGATGTAGTCTCGTGTCCTATTGCTGCAAAGCTTAGGCGTCTGTGTGTGTGTTAGAGAATAGCTAGAACTGACTCTCGCCCAGTCATCGCCCTTTTCTGTCTGTGTGACGTACAGGGTGAAGAGAGTTACATAGATTCTGTAAGTCTTATCAGTTCTATGTACTTAGGCTCTATGTAAGGCAATGTCGGACAGAAGGAAAAAGACAAGACGGCCATACTCGCCAAGTCAATAAAAACCTTCCTCGCCTCTAGCTACTTGTACTCCCTCCCCCTCGCTCCCTACATCCACATCGTCCTCGCCCTCGCCTTCACCAACTCGATCCCAATCCGGCTCTGCATCCCTTGCCACACCTCCTGCTCCATTCCCTTCCTCCAACTTCGCATCTCGACCGCCGTCTCCTCACTCATCAGACCACCCGCGGAAAGAACAAGGGGCGGAACGCCCCCCCGTAAATCCTCGGTGCCTTCTCGACAACCTCCGCGTCCCTCTTCGACAGCCACGCCACTATCCTCCCTTGCACCCAATCTATCCACTCCATCCCTGCCGGCTTCCCTCTGCCCACCACATACACACTCTTATCCTCCAACCCGTACACCTTCAGATCGTAGTCGGCGTTCCTCAGAGCTCCACCACCTCCTCGCACCCTCAGATCATTCCATCTTCGCCTTTCGAGTGTTGATGGTTCGAGAGAGGCAGTGGCACAGGCGACACGGGAGAGGTAGGTTTGGATGACTCTGTTGATAGAGTTGTGTCGGCGGATAGACCACGTCTCGCGCAAGCGGCAGACTTCGTCGTGACCGAGGTCGGACTCGTTGGCGCAGGCGGAGCATACGGGGGAAGAGGCGGGGGTGAGGAGTCGGTAGTGGAGACCGGCGGCGATCTCGTGGTTCGAAAGGCGGGGAGGTTCGAAGTAGGGGATCTGGCGGAGCCAAGAACGCCCAATCTTCGACGCGTTTTCGACGAAGTGCTTGCGCTCTGGCTGGGTCGCCGTCTCCATGAAAGAGGACAGCTGGTCGGACCACAGCTTTGCACACCTAACGCGCTGGGGGGTGGGGGGAGAGTCGGGGAGGTGGATGAGGTCGTTGAAAAAAAGTGTACTTTAAGGACCGAGCGTACGGTTCGATGGTGTTCTTGTCGCAAGAAGGTAACGAGGCCCCATGTGCATGTGACTGGACAGTATTTATCAGTATATGTACCAAGGAAGCACACCAAAGAAAAAGAAGACAAGGAACAGAGATCTTGAGAGGGCCATGGAGAAGAATAATGGATGAAGAAAGGCAGAGCTCACCTGGACAGTGTCCGTTGATATAAGTATACGAAGCAAGCCAGGGGATATCGGGGTAGGCTCTGATGGCGGCTGTGGCGGACCTTGGATTGGACGAGGAGAGGGCGTAGAGTAGACCGATCTTGGGAAGCGCTAGGAAGTCGAGGAGGGCTGCATCTGACGGGTGCTCTAAGTAGGCAGCGGCGCATCGAGAGGCGACGTCGTAGAAGTGGGGAGTAAGAGCTGGAGGGAGAAGGACACTGGCCAGAATCAGTCAAGATGAACACCAGAAACGAGAACGGATACGCACAGGGACACAGAGGGACTGGTATGGAGGGCGGCGGGGAAGAAGGGAGAGCGGGAGGGGAGGGGCAGAGGCGGGGGCGAGGGGGAGGCTGGGGTGGGAGGGTATGAAAGATGTAGAACGGCGGAAAGACAAAAGAAGATGATAAGTAGCCCGGTGTAAGAGATTAGTACAGACCGGTCAGCAGGAGATGTAGTGACGTGGAGGCGAGAGGAGTCGGAGGACACGACACCGGTGATGTTGGTGCAGTGTTGGTGGCTTGTAAATGGGGGTAGAAATGAGTGTGAAGGGATGTTGAGTGATGATCAGCTATCAGTCTGGCGGTGTCAGCGATCTCGCTTGCGTTCATGTCTCTCGTGATGCGATTCTTGAACCACTATTCGGCGGATTCTGTTCATAACTGTATTCGGAAGCTACTGACTGCGTTGCATGGATCTCACCCCCCAGCAACATTCACTACAACAACCACTGCAACATTCACCGCCAAAGAGCGGCTAAATCGATGGAGGGAGGGAGGGAGGGAGGGAGGAGGAAGGAGGAAGGAAGGGAGGGAGGGGTCGGGGGGGCGGATGGCTACCGGTGAGGCACCTCAGGCCGCTAACCAAAGTACGTCAGTCTTTTGATAGGTCAAGTTTAGCCTTTCACCCACCCAAGCCTCTGCGTAGAAGCACACCGGCCCACAGGATATTCCCAATGAGCCAAAGCAAAGACCACCGCTGGGCGGAGAAGAACGGCAGCGGGTTAGCTTTCTGGGCCCAGTTTTCCCGCAGCCATTCCAGGTTGACAGATGGCAGGACGCCAACTATCACACCAGTGACCGTAAGGCCCAGGGTCGTCCCGCGGGGCCAGCCTTTTATCAGAAACGCACGCCATTAGCCTTATCGTGGGAAAGAGGGGGGGGAAGATCTTACCCGACGAGACACACGACAATCGAGTTCATGAAGATAAATGTCGGAATGATGGCTAATGTTTGTGTCAGGTCTCGGAAATGGTGAAGAATGTACACCCAGAGAACGTACCCGTGGCCCAGAATGACATTCGTCGGTGATCATCGATCGTTTGTCTGGCTTCGCTTCGCGCGTCGTTGGCTTCATCGAGAGACAATGGGTCCGAGTCGATCCTCCTGAACTCTTTCTCAATCCACTTGTTGTAGGCCCTCTGATCTTGGCCAGCAATATCCTCAAAGATGCCCCTCAGCCATCCTTGAAACCCGCCAGTCCAAGTCCAGCCAGGCCAGGCAGTAGGCAACACGGGCACCAGTTCCCGCCAGCGGGGGACAGGCACGAGGGAGAGTGAGGCGGGGTTGGCGACGTGCTGGTTGGGAGGGTTGGCGACGTTGTGGGTGGGAGGGTTGGCGATGGGGCCAAGGACAAAGTTGACGGGCAGAGGGCGGGCGTCTTCTGGCTGAGTGGGAGCGGCGGACGACATTCTGGTTTCTGGGTGCTGTGAGAAAAGGTGTGGAAAGAGAGAAAGACGTTAGCGCGTTGTTTGGGGCGAACGGCGGCAGATCAACATCGGCACACCCCGCTTTACCTCCATCAACCATATCATTACCTCCTTACCCGTCGCTGCTGCGTGTTGGCAATTTTGGCAATTTGGAATGCATGGTCATGAGATACAGACCATTGAATGCTCTATAGAGGGATGCTCTGTAGCGGGTACCACAGTCAGAATGCTCCGTGTTGACGCGTGCGACGCGCGATCATTTTGCGATCATTCAACATGGGCGTCGACGCACGTACTTACGTAACATTTACCTGCAAGAAAAGTCACGTGCTCTGGCACACTCCAGCCTGACTCCAGCCCCAAGCGCTCACCCAGCAACATTCACCCAGTACAACGTAAGTTTTACCATCTACATATCATCCGCTTATTTCATCGCCCAAATCTTCACATCAAGATGATCTCTCAGTGGGTCACCCGCGCCAAGCAATTCTACTACGAGATTGGAGACAATGACACCCGCCCTCGCTTCATCTCCAATACCGACAGCCCGTATAATGATATCCTGCATTGCGGCTCTTTAAACTCCAAAAGCTATTGCTTCGATGTACTCAGTGACAATTGGGCTTCCCAGTACTATATTGTCCGGTTCAAGGGACCCGAAGGGGTCGCCGGGTATGTGCTCTCTGTTTCGGGTGGCGAAGCACTGACCGCGCGTTTCACAGATAATCCCCCAGAGACTTTTGCCCAGCACTGGGCCCTTTCCCGTTCGGACAGTCGCTTTTTAGCGGCCCTTCAAATCAATCAATACAAGACGTGGGGGTTGAACAGGAAACATTTGCAGAAGATTACGAGGACCATCTATCTATGAGCTTGCCCTCCGTTAAGACGTACAAGTTCTTGTATCCGAGCGGGTTAAAAAAGTACTGCCAAGTCTCACGTGCCCCAGCTTAAAATTCTTCCCGCCTTTGGCGCGGAAAAAACGAGTCCAAACCCACGAAAACCACAAGGCCACAACCCAAACGCCACCTATACCCCACAATTGGTTGGGTTAATCGTTGCCAATGCTTCTTCTCTCCGACTCAATGGTACTACTACACTTCCCTCCTTTCAATTCTTAGTACATCTTACTGAATACCATTAGTGAGTAGACGAACTCAGCTTTGGTCATGCAGCACATCAATTCCGGGAACGATCGTCGGTTATCTGCCCTTTGTACCACTGAACTCCCTCTCCCACCGGATCTACAAATACCTTCGTAATCAACGGCGCCGGCAAAACTGCGCTCCTCGGTAGAGTGGATCCTCAAAAGGCAGAAATGATTGTTGGGGTTAGGCACGATTACAATCCTGGGTTTCCCTTCAAGGGGCTTATTTCGGAATGTAAATCGCCTTTAGTGCGCTGATACATCTCTTTTGAACCCGTCAAAGAGATTACTGGAACTACCCATCCGGAAGAAGGCTTCGAGGTATCTTCGGTTGGTTTGCTATGATAGCGTGCGAGTAAGTGGGGGCCGGATTCCCGGCTGAGTACGGGCTGTATCGGTTTCCGGGGGATGTCCCCATCCAGTGAAGAGTGAGTTTCAGGTTGCGGAATAAAGAAGGTCAAGGCGTGGAACTTCGGGCGGAGGCCCTACTTTTCCGGATTTTTGGGGCTGATTATGTGAGTCTGGTCTGCTCGTAATATGGACTCATCATGTATGGTATACGCTAGGGCTCATGGAGGCCACGGTAGATCAGGATACTCCCTAGTCCGGGCTAAACCGATTTGAAGTCAGCTGGACCACGATAACAAGAGGGACCTTCTAGTATATGACTTTGCCGATTCAGAAGACTGTAAAGGTACCTTTGCTTTGTTCGATAGTGTATATTGCAGAGTTACACCTTTACCCTTCTTCGCTGTCACTGTATATAGTCTGCACTTTTCCATCCAACGTAATATCTCCCCAATTACAATCACACACTCACCACAAAGTCGGGGGTTCGGCAGCACGCCCGCTTCATACAGCCAAGCG